ATGGCAGTTACAGCAGTTTCTAAATTCTAGGTTAAAATCTCAGCCTTCTCACTTCCAACCAGATGGATGACCTTGGGCAAGTTACTTATTCACTTAGTTCTTCAGTTACGTTATATGGTTGTTATGAGGATTGAGTTACTTAATATGATAGACGCTCAAATGTTAAATTTGATTCACTTTAAAAATCTGAAGTATACAATTTAGAACTGCAATGAACCTCACACATGGTACAGTTCAGTCCATTTCTTCATTGTACAAATGAGACATTTGCCCCCAGTGTTAAAGCTATTAAGAATGGAGCTGGGTCTACCATTTCAAAGCTTTCCATTACACAATGCATCACATAACCAGTGGCTCTTTCTCCAGTATTTAAAGGCAATCCCCCATTCTTCTCTTTCCTGCCAATTCCCTCCACCAACAACTCCAACCATTTTTTTTTAATACGAAAAGAAAGGTATGTGATAGATAAACACAATGTTACATCTACACCATGCTTTCTACCTGCAGGAATGAATTGCTGGAATCCAATATGGACATCATAGGACACAGTATTTAAGTTTTGCCAAATTCTCCAAAAGAAAAAAGCACTTATTGGCATACAAACAATACAACCAAAAAGATGCTAACATTTGGGTAATGGCTAACAATTTACACCTGCCTTCTTTGTATGTTTCATGTATTATTTCTAGGTCTTAATTTCTTGGAAAAATCCCCACATTTCCAACATTTAAAAAGCATTCCACATTTTTAGTTGGGGCTGCCAAACAGGCTATTTTGTGAAAGCACAATATACGTCTTCCAGAAGTCCAATTCAAAGCTGCGTGTATTCAAACTACGTTAACAGTGAGTATTTGTGTATTAACCATAGGTTCTGAGACACATCACCTTTCATTTCTTGCATTTACTGTCTCAAGTGGGAGGAACAATTCAGCAAGGAAACAGCTGTGAGAACAATGAACACATCTGAAGCCAAGGGACTTTCACAGTTTAGTGAAATATACTGTGCAACTAACAATTATATCAAGAAACGAAGCCTCATCTATGACAGGTATGCTCTAAGTTGACTATTTTCTGCAATGAAAATGACAAAAAGCTAACCTTACAATGAAAAATGCTACATAATTAATACAAGGGACATACACTTTCCCTCCCATCCCACTTTTCTGGAAATAAATTAATAGAAGCTAGATTTATTGTCTTGATGGCATCCCACTTATTTCCTTCCTCTTTTCATATAAACATGATTGCAAATCAAAAAAACCACAACAAACAAAAAAAGTACATTAATTTTCAATTGCTGTGTAATGAATTAGCACTAATTTAGCAGCTTAAGAGACATTTACTACCTCATAGTTCTGGAGGTCAGAAGTTCGGGCACAGCATGGGGGCCATCTCGGCTCAGGGTCTCACAAGGCAGAAATCAAGGCATTGGGGGTCCCGCCCGCATTCTTACCTGGGGCCTCTGAGGGAAAGCTTGCTTCCAGACTCACTGAGGTTCTTTGCTAAATTGAGTTCCTTGTGCTTGTACAACTTAGGAGCCTGTTTCTTTGCTGGCCTCCCAAATCCTCAGCCTTGTAGTAAGCAACAGAGAATCTTCTAAGTCAGCAACAGGGAATCTCCCTCCCACGGAATCCCTCCCACAGGCTGAATCTCTTTTGCCAGGAACAGCCCAGTCCCTTTTAAGAGCTCACCTGATTCAATCAAGAACACAAAGGCAGTCTCCCTATCTTAAGGTGAACTGATTTGAAGCCTTAATTACTTGAGCAAACCCTTTACAGCTGAACAGAGATTAGTATTTGCCTGTCAGGGGCAAAGTGTGTGTACACCAGAGTGGGAACCTTGGGGCCCAGTTCAAAATTCTGTTTCCTACAACAGGGAAATCAAGATTACAGTCTCTTTAACCGGAATTAATAGGTTATTTTACTTGACCACCATTTTGGACTTTAATCTCTTCTAAAAATAAATTTTCAATAAGATGTCTGCTATTCAGGCTTAAAAGATAAAGAAAAGCAACATGGTAATAAGAATTCTAAAAGCCAACTGCAATTATTTCATAACCATATCAAAGTAATCGATGTATCTCATTATGTTAGCCTAGTGATTTTTAAATTTTTAAATCATGGTTAAACAGTGACCCATGCTCCATGGAGGATCAAGGAAGCATTAGTGATGTAAGAATATTAATTTGTAGTTATCTGAGGATGAAAATAATGGTAATTTTCATATTATCAGCCATTCTCCCGAATTAGTTCAAAACCATCTGGAAAGAAGTAAGGCTAGACTGAAGATGGGGCACAGGGAAAGTTCTCGGCGCTGGAAGCAGCCCTTTAGCTTTGTGAATGTAAACAGTGTGCTGTTTTATAGATTCTAAAATGGATCCTTTTTACTGTTCTTCCCCCTTTCCTTCTGATAATCTCTAGCGTTATCAACTAATGTAAGGAAGCCCAGGGCAACGTTTTAAGTAATGTGGTTGTCATCTTGCTGAGCCTTTCCTCACCTGTGCAACTAGAAACATCTATCTCTGGGTCTCACTAGCCACACTTGTGAAAGAAAACCGTTCTAGAATTTTACAGCTGAAATGGATCATGATCTTTAAAGTTCCACCCAGATCTAAAGTCATATTTACCCAAATAACAACTTTTAAAAAGAGAAAATATTCTTCCTAATTAGAGAAATGTGGTAATTAAATAGATGTTATAGGGTATTTGGTTTCCTGGTTAGAATAACTTTTATTACTTTTAATTTCAGATAAAGTTTCTGCATATGTTTTAGCATTTCAATAAATGATGTGTCGTTTCTAACCCCCTTGCAATTCAAGACACTGGACTATTCTTTTGCTTATGTTCTCAAGGTCTTTATTTACATCAGTTAAAAGATTTTTGTTACCTTACAAAATTGGAGACACTTCCAATTCAAAGACTAATGTATTAAAATCAATTCAGGTTTCCTATAATAAGGCCTCATCACCTTGCTTGCATGATCTGCAAAAAAGAAGGGAGAATGCAGAATTCACAAGTATACTAGTCTAAACGTTGTTGTACTGACATTCCTGAACGTTTGACATAATTCAACTCACTTTTACTGAAAGGTTATGATATATCTGATTTTGTAACAGACCCTAAGCTTCCTTGGGGCATCTTTCTATCCTCAGCACATGTTTAGAACTTAGTAGGTTCTCAAAATGAGTTTCCAGAATGAGTATAGAATAAATGCACAGGTCCTGCTTTCAAGAAGCTTAGAATCTAGTGGGAAAGACAGATTTTAGCCCAGTGAAACCCATTTCACATTTCTAACCTACTGAACTGGAAGATAATAAATTTGTGTTGTTTTAAACCTCAAAGTTTGTGGTAATTTAATATGGCAGCCATAGGAAACTGACGCAAGTTCACAGAATTGTTTCAGCTGTGAAAAGGTTTCATTGGGGTGGTGTTTCATGAGAGGAAGGGCCAGGACTCAGTGGAGGAAAACAGGTGACGTTAGTTAAATCCTTGCTACTCAAAGTATGGTTGGTCTCTTCTGAGCAGGGCTGGTAGAAACTGGCTTTTTTTTTTTTTTTTTGTAAATGCAAAATGTCAGGCACAGAAGCCAGACCTATTGAACCAAAGTCAGTATTTTAACAAGATCCCCTGGTGATTTGTATTCATATTAGAGTTTGAGAAGCACTAGGTTAAATTTATTTAAAACTATTTTAAAATGTGTAGAAATCTTTGATTCTTCTTTTTTGACACACAAGTTTGCTGGGAAAAAAATTTAAACATAACCCTAAGAAGAATGCTAGATTGCTGTTTGTTACACTGACCTGAAAAATAAAACAAAATAAAATTTCTACTGCTCTTAAATAAGAAGGCCCTTCAATAAAATCCATTTACCCCCATGGACAAAACATTTTCATTCTTCGAAAATTTCCATGAGATGAAAGATTACAAATGTCAAAAATTTTATACCTTTAAATAAATATTAGAATCCCTGGAAGAGTACTCAAAGAGCCATGCTGTGGCGGACAAAAGAACTTCATTCACATAATACGTTTTCTTTAATTACTTTAATATAAAAGACACCAATGTTTCATATTTCACATAATATTTTTTAAAAAGTTTTAAAACCCTATAATAAGTATTTAATGAAAATAAATTTATTGAATGGTAGTAATGACTGCAAAAGCAATACTACCAAATCATTACTGAGGCCTTTTGCATTAACAGTAATTGGAAGGTAGGTGGAAAAAATTTCAAACAAGAATATGGATGTTTTAAAACTACATTTTATCCAGCCTTTATCTTTTTGCTAAATCTTGTGCATATTAGATGTATTCAAGATGGTTTTAAAGCTATTCACCTAAAGTAATACTTCAAAGATGTTAAAACAGCCCTCCACTAATGATATGGTGGTGCAAATCCTCCCATCTGTTTACAAAATTAAAACAAGCAATGAGCGAATGAGTCTTTCTGGGTAAAAGATTCAGTTAAAAAAGAGAACATTAACAGAGAATTAGTGATGGTGAGCAGAATAAGAAAATTAGCATAATCAAGAAAGATATGTAATTATTCAACATAAGTTTGTCTGGTAAACCAGTGCAACATAATAAATAACTTGACTGCATTGTGAGAGAAAGGGGTAACACGATCCAGAGTCCTGTTTTTAAATTCTCGTTTAATAATCCTATTTCAATCAACATGTAAAGTAAAAGCACTGAATCCACATTAACATTATAACATACATCTTACAATAAGACAAAAGTCAAACTATTACTGGTAGAGCTTTGTCTTTAACTGTGCACAATTTAAGAAAATTTCACAAGAGTGTGCACTTTTGAAAGTATGATCAGTGTATATGGTATAGAGAAAACAGGCACCTCCATTATAATTTTTTTAATAAATAAAAGCACATTAACATAAAAAGAAGGTAAGCAGCACCTAAAACCTTTGATATCTGTAACTAAATGCTGGTAACCAAACGGTCAAATTAGTTAAGTTTTACTAAGAGGTGCAAAAAAGAGCCAATTTTTGACTTAACATTTTAATTCTACTAGAGACATGAGCTTTGTCCGGGCTTACAGTCCTGTCACCTGATGGTGAGTAGCACACCAGGTCTTCACATGTCTTATACTTTGGAAAGCAGACCCGACTCTGGAGCACTCGCCTTAATTAGATTCTGAATTTCCTTGAATTTTGGATGATCTTTATCAGCCACCAGCTGTAGCAGAACAGCTTCACTTGTAGTCACTATGATCCCAGTTCGAGCAAGACGCTTTAAAAAAAAAAAAAGACAAATCAAGAAATTAAGCATGAGAATGAACACTGTATTAAAACAGCAAAAAGCATGCCAGGACACAATGATTAGTGTCCTCTATCAAAACCATGGCCCTTAGCCATACCATCAAATTCAGAGATGAGGAGAGATTTCAAACTAGACACACCACAAACCTTTTATGATGGTTCTCAATATTAGTAATAAGGACTAGAAACAAGTAAAAGAGAATAGGTAGCCAATATTCTCACTTGCCAATATTCTCATTTATATGCACGGGGGACAGAGGGAAATCAAGGCTAAGGACTGTAAAACAATGATTCTTAATTTCTTTTTTTCCTCTCTCCAAATATCTGACATTAAACTGCATGCCCTTCCCATAAGTAAGAAATGCTGGTGGTAGAGGAGCCTCATGTGAGGTTTAAGAATGTGCCCCTGGACGACAACAGAACCACTACCATTGCCACCATTGTAAGCTTTTTAGAATCATAAACAGGAGTATAAAATTTAAGGTTGTATTAGAGTTTCATTGACAGGTGAAAGAACATCCTTGCCAAATGGTTCCAGTGGAATCATAATAAAGAGCTAAGGACAGAAATCTCAAGGAAGGGGAGGAGGGAAAGGGAAGGAGGAGGCAAAGAAGAGAAAGTGGAGAAAAGGGTGGGAGAGGGGAATGGGAGAATTCTAGAGCAGAGATCCATTTTCTGGATGTATTTATCAGAAACCTCAGGGAAAAAAAAGACCAACTGTTTGTTACCCCAAACAACATTCACTGTAAGAGCCTTAAAAGATGAGGTGGTTAGACACAATTCCTATGCAAGTTAGAGGAAAAGACGTGGATCAGTGTCTCGTCATAAAGGGAGTCACCTGAATAAACAGGACATCCCAATGGAGCCAAAGTACACCCTTCAAATGGCTGCAGATCCAGAGACCCAACCTTCCCACTGGCAGACTCTTCCTTTTTATCCCCAAGGATGCAGGAGGGAGTGTAAGCCATAGCCTACTTATCAGATAGCAAGCTTGGACCTCAAAGACCAGCACAGGAGTGTGCAGAGCAGGCTGACCACAGCTCTGGAGAAATGAAAAAACAGCAGACAGTTACATAGGAAAGAGGAAGAAATAAGTGAGGCTGCTAGCGTCCTTTATGTTGGGACAAATCCCAGAGGATGAGTCATCACTGAGTTCTTTAAAGACTTCTGGAGACTAATTTCTTCCTCCTTGCTTTTCAGTCAACTCCTGACTATCGTATCAAACCCTCAGAAATCTCAAAGGACTGTGTGCTTGCTTCAGACAGCAGGGTGGGGAATAAGACTAGCTGCAGCTCGGTGCCATGAATGTCCAGCCATCCAAACGCAGCTCTCTCCCTGGCTGCCCTGCCTTCCTTACTGCTCCCTGTTCAATCAACGGACTTTCAATCAGTCAGTCTGAATCTGAATCATACTTTCAATGTCTGTGAAAGTGCCTTCTATATTCCAAAGTGCAAACAAAGGTCAGTTCTCAGTAATCTTTCTAGTTCCTTCATGAGGCAGGAAGGACAGAAAACTGTTTCCAGATCTGAGGAAGAAATGTGATGACCCAGGAAGAAGGCAGCGTTTTTCCATAGTGCTCTCCTGACCAGACTAGAGCAGCACCGGCTCCACCCTAAGCCAACAACCCTCAGTGATGCTGTGAGTCCGTACACCGTGGCAGAGGCAAGCTGGGACACTAGAGGCACACAAAAAAACTTTAGTAAACAGAAACTTACATAAAATTATTTAACTTCAAGACTGAGATATGCCCAATATTAATTGCATTCGAAAGTAATCAAGCCAAGAACCTGTGTTAGGGAAAGGCGTGGCTCACGCCTTTGCTAAGAATGCAGAGTCTTTAGATCAGACTAACAGATCTTCCCACGGTGCCTTCCCTGCCCCAACCCAGAAGGGTACCTGAGCAGAAAGAGAACAGCAGCACTTTTTCCACACACCGGCAGGTTCCTGCCCACCATCCTGAGCTATGAGGACACCTACAATACTGGTCCCACACTCACTTTATCTCCTGGCTTTAGAAGGGGCAATTAAAACCCTAGCTGTTTAATGCAAATGGTTACACGGCTTAATAGGCTTCCTGAGTTCTTCGCTTACACTTGCAAAACCAGTCCAACGAGGCCAAAGGAAAGGTTACTCTGACCCACAAACCTAAAAATGCAAGAACACAAAGCCAAGACAGCCTCAGAGAGGGTGGGGGAAAAAAAAAGACTAAACCCATTAAATTCCCAAGCAACACTAACAACTCCCCAGAAGTACAAGGACATCAAGTTCATGAGATGGTTTTATTCTATTTTATCTCACATTTACTCTACAATTGTAAGTTGAAAGAAAAATGCCTGACAGATGGTAGGTGCTCAAAAAATTCTGTGGAATAAAGCACACACCACAGATCCTGGCAGAGAAGTTTTAATAACGGTAACTATAAATCTTATTAGTACAATGGTCTTAACAGGCAATATGGGGAGTCTCAGGAATGACCTTAAGTAGTTGTGTTCTCAAGGAAAAAAAGAAGGGGAGCAGACCAGATCTCTATTTCACTTTCATAGTCACAGAAGAAAAAAGGAGACTTAACATTTCTCCCAAGGACTGAGGGACTAAAGCACCTCCATGGCAAATTAAGACTAAGAGGAAAACTCTGAAATGTGGCACACATCTTCCCCCATCACCACCTGACCTGCTTCTTTTCTCCCTTTCAACCTCAGCACTGTAAGCCAAGGCAATGCTGGCTGCTCCAGGCTCTTCCAAATCCACCCCAGACCATATTCCTTCCTTCCCTCCTCAGAACTTCTCAGGACTAGTCCATTCTGGGTCTTGGAAGCTGATATATGCTTATACTTTTCTGATCAGATGAACCTCATGAAGACAACAAAAACAAATAATAGCTACAGTAAAAATAAAAGCAACAGCTAACATTTGAGTGTTTACCATATCGGACACTGTACTAAGTGCTATCGATACATTATTTCATTTAATCTTCACAAAAATCCTCCCACGTGATGACTATTATTTCTATTTCACAGTCGACAAAAAATTAATCCATCAATCTAAGAAAGAAACAGATGAACCTATTTGCAAGGCAGGAATAGAGACACAGACTTAGAGAACGGACATGTGGACACAGGGGTGGAAGGTGAGGGTGGGATGAATTGGGAGATTAGGATTGATATATATACACTACCATGCATAAAATAGATAGCTAGCAGGAACATACTATAAAGCACAGGAAGCTCAGCTCAGTGCTTTTTGATGACCTAGGTGGGTGGGAGGGAGGTCCAAGAGGGAGGGGACACAGGTATACATATAGCTGACTCATTTCATTGTACAGCAGAAACTAACAACATTGTAAAGCAATTACACTCCAATTAAAAAAAAGGAAGAAATGGAAAATTTTATTCAAGCCAAAGTGAGGATTATAACCTGGGAACAGCCCCTCAGAAAGCTCTGAGAACTGGTCCACCCGTTAGAAGTCAAAGCGCAGTTACATAAATTGAGACAGAGGGCTGTACATTAAATGACCTATTATTGACAGTTTACATAATCCAGATCTAAGTTCCATTGTCGTGGGTCATGTGACCCTTTAGAAGATCAAGAAGGAATGTTATCTTTTAAGGGGTTGTCTGCTCTTTACGGTTGAGCAGGTATTTCTGCTGATGGGAGGTTTGGTCGATGCATACTTTAGATACACAATGCACAGTAGGGAGGAGAGAGGAGGCCAAAAGGCAAAGAAAATTTTTTCATGTTTAAATTTTTCTTGTCTTGCCATCAAAATATGAATTTTATTTCACATCACCCATGACAAATCTGAGGCAAAGATATTAGGTAATTTGTCCAAGGACACAAATTTACAAAATGCCAGAACCTGAATTCAAACCCATATTATCCCTCCACTGTTTAGACTCCTCCTAATCAGGAAGATTACAGACTACCTCCAAAAAAATGAGGCTCAGATGGTAAATGGCTGTTTTTATTCTGAGTCTTGGTAGAACACAGAACTGCCAACAATCAAAATTTTCTGTAATAAATGGCATAATAAAGACGTCTAAAAAACGAATGTAGGACAAAAGTTCTTGAAATCTCTTTACAAGCAAGGAAAATTTTTGGTTTTGTATGTTCTTAGTTTTTCACTTCCTTGGAAACACTTCAAGTTCTGGACCTCAGCATTACCATAAAGGTATTCAAAGAAGAAAAGAGCTGTCTGCCGAGGTAGTACGGATCTGACAGTGGAAGTGTTTAAACTCAGATTACTAAGGAAATTTGAAAAGTGGAAGCTAACTATGACTATAAGAACAGCTTAAAGATCTCTGCTGAGAGGGGAAGAAGCAACACTTAGTATCTAACCAGAGAACCCAGTAGTCCAAGTGGACTTGAAAATAGTTGAATAAAATAAATAAAACCATTTCCACCTATAATCGCAAAATAGGACTCACTGCTCAGGAATAAGAGAAGGGATGGCCAACCAGGGCCTTAAAACCACTGCTGCTGCCAGCTACCCGCCTGCTTCTGCATCAGCCCTCCCCACTGACTTGAGTCTCCTTTCTTTCCTCTCTTTCTTATTTGCCCAACTCACCACCCTAGGGAACATTTTAGGCTAGAGAGATGATAGAGCAATCCTACAGAGAAAGTGGTTCACAAGTCAGCTTATGCATGGAACACTGGAGGGTCTCAAAAAAAAAATCTACATTTCCCATTCTCAATAAAAATAATCAGTTAAAAATTCAGCAATTCAATCCAGATTGACATTACTTTAAAGCTATTATAGAATTAGAACTAAACATGAAAGAGAGAGAGATGCACAATGCGGAGTGAAGGCTTCAAAGGATTAATTGTGGGAGTTTGTTTTTCAACAGTCTCAGAATAGGCAATGCTTACGTAAGGCTACAGTTATGCAACACGGATGAAAGTCATCAACTCCCTGACTCTGAAGTATATCTTGACACTCCACACAGAGAGCCATTAAACACTGTGTGTGAGTGGTGCCCACAGTCAGAGACACACCTCCTATCCCCAGAAATTCAAGTCTGAGGAAATCTAACAAGTGGCTGAACCCGGCTTCAGCCCACCATACCCTAGGTGTTGGCTAGACTCTGGACGAGTTAAGCCTAGGTGAACTGTTGTTAATTTGCAAATCTTTCAGTAGTTCAGAGTAAGCTTACTGGAATACCTCTTAGTTGATGTGCAAAACTAGCAAAGTTACGAAAGAAGATGTAAAGGAGCATTTGGCATCACTAGACATCTAGAAATAAAGACAGAAGATGTAAAACAGGATATGATGGTGAGACCTCAGAGGTCTGTCGTGCGTAGCAGAAACCCCGGAAATCAGCCTGATTGTTGTCAGACCAAGCTCAAATTTAAGAGGTAAATCTTTCACTGCTGTTACATATTTAATACTCTCCAAATTTACTTGGAAGCCTTGGCTAATGATTTATTTTAAAGCAGGACAATTACCTCAAGAGCAAACATCCTGTCCATCATGCTTCTCGACGACGTGGCATCAGCGACAATATGAACCTCAATACCTCTGCCAACAAGCTCCAGAGCTGTCTGTTGGATGCACACATGGGTCTAGTAGGAAAGTAAAAACCATATGTAATAACGTGGTAAACTACAAGTATTTTACAAGTGTGCAGCAACATGGTAGAGCAGAAAGAGCACTACAGGTCTAATGGCCTTGTCCACATCTAGTTTTGCCTCCAACTCACTAGTGATCTTGAGCATAAACAGCATTTCTGGCTTTGGCTGCCTCTTTGTTAAGTCAGGGACTGCATTACATCAATGTTCTTTGTACTGGGAACCTTGAACATATTCTTAGAGCTCTGTGAGCACTTTTTTTAAAGATTTTCATCTATGTCATCTGGACGACCTTCATATGGCTGACTACTAGCACTCAGTTTTGATGCCACTCGCAGTTGGGTTTATTTCTGTATTCACACCAAGGGCCTAACACAAAGAATGCGTTTGCAGTACTGCCAATTGAGATAATGGTGGGAAAACTGAGTTGTTGTAAGGCACCCACTAGTAAAGGTAAGCCAAGTTAAAAATAACTTGTAGCACAGGCAAAAAATACCCAGTATACATCACCAGAAAATGAATTATACAGATTCCATCTTTGTAAGTATGAACTTGTAACAATTCATCAGCAGAGAATAAAGAGTAAAAACATGCTCCAACAATAAGTGGATTATATAACCAATGAAAGCAGATTTTAATAATGCCAACCAACCTTATCTTCATATGACAAGAGGGCTGTGGAGAATTATCAACTGACAACTCATTAAAATTAGCATTGGAGGACTGCTCAAAGATGATTTTTGATTAGACATGAGGTCTAATAATGAACAAGCAAGAAAAGTGCAAAAGTCAGCATTTGGTGTGACATATTTATACAAATAGGCTTCCTTTATTTTATCATTATTTAAGTCAAAATACAGAAATATTTTATATCTAAACCTGAGGCTATTAAAACCTACTACTCTGAAACCTACTATCAAAACATCATGGATGTCTTTAATATTATTTGGATTTCACTGTTTTTACGGTTTTCATAATTTTAAAATTTTAGTTCAAGAGGTGTTTAAAAGCTATGAATAAATACTTATATTCTGTTTCTACATGTCAAAAAAACAAACCAAACAAAAAATTTTAATCAGCATTAGGAATCCATGAGTATTTTTTTTCCTTTAAAAAAATAGGTACACATGATTCAAATGTGAAGGACAATGAACTACATGACTTCTAAGGTTTTTCTAAAAGAAAAACATGACCAAGGTGAGCTCCTATAACACATAAATAAACATACTATCTTTGGTGAAAATGTGTTCTAAAAGTTGGGGTTCAAAGTAAAGGCCCAAGAATCAATCAACCTAGATTCAAATGCAGCTTCATCTAACTTTAACTAACTCTATGACCTTGAGCAAGACACATAGCACCTGTGTTTGAGTTTTCTCACCTACAATATGAGACCAAAAGTACTTAGCTCAGAGGATTGCTGTGAGAGTTCAACAAATTAATATATATAAAGTGTTTAGATCAGTGCCATGTAAGTAGTCAACACTTAAAAAAATGGTAGCTATTTTCTATCAGTTACCTACATGGTATTGTATATACAAAATTACATTCTGGAAATAACAAGTTTTCTACAAACAATATTGTGTCCAAAACAGAACAAGAGGTACTCACTTCTACTCCAAATAACACAACACTCCTGACTCCAGGAATCTCTGCTAATGCTGCTTCTACCTCTGGTAATACCATGGAAAATTTGGTCTTTGGAAGTACCAGTTTTACACCCGTTAAATCAATTTCTTGAACAGTGCTTCCAAGACCTTTAGGGTACTGTTCTGTTACAATAACTGGAATTCCTAAAATCCGGGCCCCTTGTAACTGGAGGAAAAAAAACACACAAAGATAAGTAGCAATATACATATGTTTGTGTATGAATCATGCTTTAGCAAATTGGAAAAAATGAACAAGCAAGCATACCAATCTCTGTCCCACACTAATAATATCTCCAAAATACTTGATGGCTGGTCTGAACCTTTCCTGCATATCACAGCAGAAAAACACAGTGCTTGAAGGTGTAAGATTTCCCAGGGTAGTGAGCTGAGGAAAAAAGAAAAAAAGAATGATTTAGCATTTGTTATACAATGACATTTATTTTCAGCTGGAGGTCAGTAAAGAGAGAAAAACATTCCTACTGTTTGACCCATTAAATCCATTTCTACAACTATTGTCTAAGAGAAATGATATGAATAACAGGAAAAAAAATTATGCCCAAAGATGTCCACTGAATTGCTTTTAATAGTGAAAATTAGAAATAAACCAAGAACCAACAATACAAAAATGATTTCACAAATTTTAACATTCACATGACATTTTTTAGCCTATTAAAATAACGTATGTATATGTTTTCAAAAAATGTGCACCATCTAAGAAGAAATGCCATAATCTAATGTTAATTTTAAAAACAGAGCACAGTTCAATAGTATTTCAATAATGTAAAAATATGAATAAAAAGTAGAAGCAAATATATGAAAATATGAACACGTCGTTATATAGTTAGGGATGTTGATAACATTTTTTCTTAATACCTTTCTTTTATTTTTCAAATGCTATTTTAAAACATTTGCTAAATGTTATTTTAAAATATGTATTTTATAATAAAAAACAGTAAAAAACTTAAATCTGTTGATGGCATTGCTTACAAGAACAAAGAATAAAATTTAAATAATCTGTAGCAAAGATTATGGAACAAAAAACTAAAAAAAAGAAACAAATCTAGATATACTGCTATCATCAACACAGAAATATTAAGCTGGTATTCTCAAGAATAACTTCTTAGACTTCAAATAAGATGCAATGAAATGATGCCAAGCACATCACCACTGTCAAATGGAAAGACATAAATTTGACATCTGAATTCTTACACATATTTATCACAATCGGGAAAGTCAATGAATTAAGATGAAAACTGGGTATTAGATTACCATGCTTTACATTAATTGCTGTAGTTGATCTATTATAACAACTTGGGCCCAATATGAATCTACCAAAAAGTGAAAAATCACTGTTGAATACAAGAATTTAATTCTTAAAAGTCCATGGTACTTTTCTTTCTACCTTCTCAAATTAGAGAAAGCTCTGGAAAGGATGCAGTCTGATCATGAATGAACCCATGCCACTACTCTTACTAGGCACCCCGTAAGTCTCCCTCTAATTAACGTAAACCACCCACAGACAATAATTACTCATAATTTTATAGAGGAACCTGAGTCCTGATTACATGGTGGTGGCTTCACCACCAGCCTGGCCCTAGACTCTGCCTTATTATCTGTGCACATGGCATACTCCCAAGAAACAATTACTACAAGAATTAAATGAATCATCAAAAGGAATCTTTTATCTTTAACAGTATGACTGTTCTAGTCAGTTTGCACTTTTATTTATCTGTGTCCTGGTCTGAAGGACTCTGGCACCTTAATCTCCCTCTGGTATTAACTCTATAGGTGTGCACTGATTAACCATGTGCAGTCCAACACCAAGTTCATGTCAGAATGCGAGTGCCATCTTTAATTCTAACACTATGTAGAGGGTTTTCCTATTCTGCCAATAAAGTATGTTTAAAATAAATATTCAAGCATCTTAAATTATATATGCCATCTTTGGCTGCTTCCTTACTTAAATTATTAATGCAAGTACCATGCTTCCATTTTGGTCATTATCAAAAGCAATGAGTCTGATGTATATGTAAGTACTTAGGGTACTTTGTTGAAAACCAGTCACTATGACGATGTATCTTAAATTTCAGTAAACATTAAATCTTGGCTCAAAAGGCTTAAAATCCATATATACATATTCTTTTAGAAATTTGAACCAGGGGTCCCTAGTCATTAACAATGTGTTGAGAGGACACTATGAAAAGCAGTTCAGCTGTAACTGTCTTGTTTCAAGTAACTGAAATGCACCTTAGCAATCTTGCCATTCTACCACATGGGAATACCAGCAAGCAGGCAAAATAAAACTCCCAGGCAGTTGCCTAAGTATGCTGGATGGCCATGCACTAACACACAGCCTACACTTGCTTCGACCTCCAGCATTCAGATCTTATCTCAGACTGTATTGACTAACTCTTGTATACATTCCTAACAAGTTTGGTTGTCTGGATTATAAATTAACACAGAACTGGAAACAGCAAATCTGAAAGGAAACTGCTGAAGATAGGCAAACTGATAGCAGCAAGAAATGACAGCTGAGGAAGAAAAGATTAAAAATACAATAAAAGCAGATCAAAACTCAACTAGTTCTCAGTCTAGACTCCAATGAAGGAGTAACAAGCTGTATGTAAGTTATAAATTGGGACAAAATCATTTTATCACACTCATTAAGAAAATAAGTTACATAATATTTTAGGAATACCATATAAAATGGTCAAAATACAGAAAATTGGGATATTTAAAGGAATAAAACCTTACCTACTCAGAAATCCTAGAATATTCAGACTTGTGGTCTCCTGGGGTTCCTGTTACCTGGTGCTTCCCTATACCTCATTTCAACTGTGAGGGATCTGTTCTAGGCAGGGGACCACATCAGACATATGTCATATTAGACACAGATTGAGGAGGTCAGAAAATGCAGCCCTGAAATCCTTAGCACCCTGCAAATCCTTTCTAGTAGAGGAATTCATCATCTATAAACCTTCAGTTAAAGAAAGAAACCATAGAGATAAGCGGGTGAGGCATATTTTTATGCAGAAATGACTGGTTATAATTTAATGAAACAAAAAAGCCTTAGATATTCTCCTCTCCAGGAGTTGACATCCCCTTGAATATGACCTGCACTTAGTAATTTGCTTCTTCAGAGTATAGAGGGAGGGTAATGGTGAACAGGGCCTCAGCCAGGTGATCAAGATTGAGGTAATCCATGGTGACAGTATTCAGCTTTGATATGTGATGAGAATGACCTTCATTATCTTCCTCTCATAATCTCACAACCCTGGTTGAAGCATGAGGAAAACATCAGATAAACCCAAAATGAGGTCATTCTACAAAAATATCTAATCAGGGCTTCCCTGGTGGCGCAGTGGTTGAGAGTCCGCCTGCCGATGCAGGGGACACGGGATCGTGCCCCGGTCTGGGAGGATCCCACATGCCGCGGAGCGGCTGGGCCCGTGGGCCGTGGCCGCTGAGTCTGCGCGTCCGGAGCCTGTGCTCCGCAGCGGGAGAAGCCGCAGCGGTGAGAGGCCCGCGTATCGAAAAAAAAAAAAGGAATAAAAAATATCTAATCAGTACTCCTTAAAACTGTCAAGGTCATTAAAAACAATGAAACTCTGAGAAACTGCCATAACCCACAGGAGTACAAGGAGACATGACAACTAAATGTAATCGGTATCCTGAATTGGATCCTGGGACAGAAAAAGGACATTAGGGAAAAGCTAGTGAAATCTGACTAAAGTGTGGCGCTCAGCTTATAGTAATGTACCAATGTTGGTTCCTTAGCTGTGACAAATATGCCACAGTAATGTAAGATGTTAACAAGAAGGGAAACTAGGTCAGGTATAAAGGAGTTGGCTCTCTGTACTATCCTTTGCAACTTCGTTGTAAATCAACACTATTCTAAAATTAAAAGTTTATGAAAAAAAAAGGTCTCCCTATGCCATAGTAGTAGGGGGAAAAGATGCTACTTTATGAATAAACTCCATATCTTACAAGACAGAAAAAGGAGGATTTGAGGCTACCAAAACAAAAACCAAACAAATAAAAAAGTACTGAAAAACTCTAACCAAACCACGCATCCACCCCAAATACACATGAATTTCAGTAATTGTTGTTAAATTACACACTGACTCTATAATTCAGGGACTTCGTAACTTGACTCAGAAATTCCTCTTAAACCAAAACCTTGTACATAACTAAAGTCCTCTCATTGTCAAACATACTGCAACTGGAAGATAGCAAATTAAAAGCGACCTTGACCAAGTGCCATCCGGAGGAAAAGCGAAGCAATTACAGATCAACACATATTCAAGAAGTATGAAGAAATCACATATAAAAATAAATATGTGTATGTACACACACCTTCATATATTTATACACATAAATCCCTACACATACATATATACATAAAAAATACGTATTTCAATATACATATTTCAACACAAAAAGGTGATCACAACCAATGGCTTCCTCAAGCAACAGTTTAAGAGATAAATTTCAAGTATAAATTTTTGGTCCACTTTCTTAAGAACTGTCCTAGCTGGCATTCAACCTTAGATTTCATATTCAAAAGACTCTTCATCCCCAAGACTCATTATTACCACGATCATAACAGTATTTACCCTCCTTCACTTCCACATGTGCTCTGACCATTTTCTAACAATGGCTGCTAGATCTGCAAGGAATCTGCTCCTCCCTTCCTCAGTTACTCAGGACAGGCACATACACAGTGGCTGGCCTTGCTTAGTGATACATGGTGCCCCACTTCTGTTCTCTCCATAAACGTAATGCATGGTGAGTGTTGTATGTTGAATGGTGTGCTCTAAAATTCATATGTTGAATTCCTAACCACCAGTACTGTACCTCAGAAAGTGGCTTTATTTGGAAATAGTCACTGAAAACATAATTAGTTAAGATGAGGTCATACTGGAGTAGAGTGGGTGCCTAATCCAACATGAGTGGCATCCTTATTAAAAGCGGAAATCTGGGCACAGAGAAGGCCATGTGAACATGAAGGGAGAGATCAAGGTGACATGTCTACAAGCCACACAATGCCAAAGACTCCCAACAAACCACCAAAGGCCAGGAGGGAGGCATGGAACGGCTTCTTCTTCACAGCCCTCAGAAGGAACCAAACCTGATCTAAACCCTCCAGAATTATGAGAAAATAAATTTCTGTTGTATAAGCCACTCGGTCTGTAGTATTATACTTTGTTACAGCAGCAACCTAGCGAACGACTACAGTGAGTAAACTGTATATCTTTAGGAATGATTAAAGTTTGGAATTGTAAATGTGATGTTTTCAAAATTTTAGTAGTCTATTATATTCACAATATAGGCATGACGTGCTTGGGAGAGGGGTCTAGTAGGGGATATGAAGTATCATTATTTCACAGAGAAGTGTTTCCAAGGAAACCTGATTACCACAGGTATAGTAAGGCTTTGTTCCAATACTGACTCAAAACAGAGGTCTGTGACATGACTCTCCCAGGTTACAAGAGTGCCTACACAGGACAGCCCAGGGGCATTAATCTGAGTCCAAATGTCAATTTCACTAATTTCAATTACATGAAATGCAGCAAACCATTAACATCTCCAAACAGCTGCTTCTTAATCTGTAACAAAGTAATAAAAATAGTATCTACCTCACAGGGCTATTTCAAGGATTAAATCAGCTTCATGTAAATCAATCAATAAATGTATTAGGTTATTGTGTATCCCTCCTATAGGAAACATATGCTCTGAAGGTCAGCACATGTTAAAAATAGTTCTTCTGTAATGAGGTTAAAATACCACTTACTGCTAAAATCCCTTATGAAAACAATAAATATATAGAAAGAAATATTGATATTGCCTAACTTATGTTAACATAGTCTACAGAATTAAGAAATGATTCATAAAGTGGATTTCTAAATGTCACCAAAAGACTGACAATTACATGATCTGCTCCTGGCAAAACGGTTTGGGGCTTTTTAATTTAGAGTACAAAAGAATATTTATTTCACTCTTATTTTACAACCTACTCACCTGCTGTAAGCACTAATGTCACTTGCACTGAGGTTACAACTCCAGCGAGCTTTCTAACTGCCTAAGGGAAGCCAGCCAACTCCATCAATTTCAGTGTTAAGGACGATGGATTTCTTTAGACTGTACCTGAGGTTGGAGTGAAGGTGAAGCTGGCCAGATCCCAGGAACACAGTGATATCTGAATCTACTTTGGATTCCCCTTGGCAAACTAAATGAAAGAAAAAATTTCCAAACACAGTTTGGAAATTGTGTTTAGCTCCCACTCAAACACAGTTTATTTATAGGTAGCCTCTAATGTATCCACAAGAGGTAAAATGTGTACAATGCTTTGGGCAGTAATCTGCAATGTTAAATTCTTAAAAAGTGGGCGGGCAGACAATATCATACCCTCAGGATCCAGCTGTTTTCTCCAGTGCCCTGACACTGTGCGCCTCCCAAGATAGTTCCTGCCTGCTTCTCTAACTCAAGAGTTCTGAGCATTAGCTTATCTACCTGCTCCTCCTACACGCTCCATAGTAAAGGTTCTGAAATCAACAATCACCACCTTCCGGGTTTCCCTGGTCGAGCAGTGGTTGGGAGTCCGCCTGCCGATGAAGGGGACATGGGTTCGTGCCCCGGTCTGGGAGGATCCCACATGCCGTGGAGCAGCTGGGCCCATGAGCCATGGCCGCTGAGCCTGCGCGTCTGGAGCCTGTGCTCCATAACGGGAGAAGCCGCAACAGTGAGAGGCCCGCGTACCGCAAAAGAAAAAAAAAAAAATCACCACCTTCCAACTAGCAAGCCCAAGGGAGACCCAAGTCCTTTCCCCTTTCTTTCCAAACCCTGCCTTCTCTCCCTTCCCACCATGTACTCTGGGGTCTCTTCTAGCTATAAAACGTCTACACCTCTGTTTAAAATAATCATAGTACTAATAAACTTCCAAGAAGTAAAACCTGGAGCAGAATCCCTTCCAAATTAACTACCTCAGGAAAAAGTCAAAATAACCTTCCCAGGGAAGCCCTTATCTTCTGCCCAGACGAAGCTGCCAGAGCCTTCCCTCCTACATACTGAAGTAAAATCCTCTCGCTGGTGTCATTCTTACTATGTCCTTTTCTTCCTCTCTTCTACTTGGGCTCTGCCCAAGTTTCCAGGGTTGAATTCTCCGTTAGTTAAAACTTGGGAAATACCTTGTGAAAAATTAACACTTATAAGTCATAAAAATGACCTAAATTCCCACTGTATAATCCTCATTTACATTTCTTCCCCTGCGTCTCAAAATTCCTTAGACTTCAAGCATTTTGACAAGGCTGAAGACTCATAAACCGTGCTTGAAACATGAGCTGTCTTCAGCTACCTGAGCTGTCAGCAGACACTCGGTCACTTGGACAGAATATTTCAGAAAAGAAGACACTAAAAAGTTACCACAGCCTAATACTGGCAATGGGGGTCTTAAAGATCAATCCCCACAGAACCACTAACCAACCACCAGCACAGACAGTGTGGCAGAAGCAGCCACTATGTTTTACAAGGTCACTAGCAACGTCAGTCAGAACAAGCGTGAAAGCAAACTCGGACCCCTGTGTAAATTAAGAATACATTCTAGAATATTTTGTATGTTAGCCAGGGCCACAGAGGCTATAAGGCCTATTCTTGGAGAAATAGTAAATGGCATTATTTAAGCTGTGGATTACATGTGGCCAAACATGCTCTTCATCCCTGCCTCTGGGAGAAGGGGCCTATACCCAGAGCATGGCCTCACCGACAGGCCACCTTGAGTCTTGCTGAGGGACAGGCACCTGTTCCACAGAAACAACGAATAGCATCAAAACAAATGATGTTACAAGCTCAAGTTTGCGGCTTGTTTTCCATTCTGCTTGCTATTTTCATTAAGCATGAAAAGAGAACATAAATGCTATGGCCAGCTGTAGGACCTTCACACGCTTTGCCATGGAACCTCAGGCAATTTCCTACATGTTCTGCTCTTTGGTAAAATGAAGGAGTTAGATTACTAGGTACGGAACAAGAATTGGGTCTTACCCATGTTTACATTCACTGGGCCAGGCACTTACAGCTGCCACTCAAATGTGGAGTGAACTCTACGTTCTCATCCAGCCATAAAATGTCCATGTCTCTAGGATTACACAGCCAGGTTCCAAAAACATATAGTAAAACGGTCATGAAAGGAAGTATCTTCCCTTTTTCTTCTGAGAATATCCATACACATACACACACACATATATCTCTCTCTTCATATAAATAGGTATCAGAATAAGTATATGGATATATATGGTATGTGTGTATATTCCTCCACATTATCTATTTTTAAGCTGGGGGAGGCACCTGGCTGAAGAAGTCAAGCTATTGTGATTACTAAAATGAAAGAATATAAAAATATTTTTAAATACTTTAAAATATATAAAGTATCCTATAACATATGCTTAAGAATTATTGAATTATTTAGTGGGGAATAAAATAACATTTTTAAAAGAATGGGACAGAGTAGTGATATTATCATTATTATATTAAACATCACCACAAAAAAAATAACTATATTTTATCGCCAATACCAAGCAAAAGACTTCAAAAGCCACGTGACCTGAATTATATAATGCCTTTTGAGAATGTACAAGACATTTCAGGTATATACAAATATTTCATTAACTTCTAAACTGATAAGTTAAAAAGAGTTCTCAGATCCAGGCTTTAAATTTTTCAAAATAAGAAATCCCACTGTTGGGGGAGGGGGAAGTCTTAAAGACTTGGGGAGGGTGCTAGTTTGGCATAACATCTTATTAGGTAACAGCCCACTCTCCCTCCCAACTACTACAGGAAATGCATCACAAAGAAGTCTGCATCCTCAGTAAAGCTACAGATCTCTTCAGCTAGTATTTGGATTCTCCCCTTTATTAATGGATTTGTCAAAGGTGCATCCAGCTTCTTCCATATTTTGGCAGCAATAATCTAAACAGACTGACAAGGAAGGCTGCAGAGAGGTGTCAGCCACGAAAACTCTTGAAGGCATAAAAATGGGTGGTAGTAAACACCCACCAACCACAACTCTCCCAAGAGCAGGGCAAATTCTAGGGTATCAGACACCAACTGCCTCCCTTTTGGCTCTCCAAGGGTTGACCACAGAATCTCACAGCCTTTGCCCTCTGGTTAAAGTATCTGCTTTGGAAGCTTCTGGCCTTCCTTTGCTATCACTTGCTGGAGTAATAGCAAACAAGACCAATTCCACAGACAACTACAAGTGAAAAACAAACAAACAAACAAACCACCAAAAACTACAGAATAGTCCTCAGAAAATGACACTTGAATATTAAAATGCCTTCTAATCCTGAATCCCACATTTCAGTTTGGTCTTCCAAAGAAATGGCTTACCGGTTTCTCAACCAAAAGAAATGGTGGTGGTGTAGTACCTAAAATACACCTTTTGTTCTTGCTTTTCAACAGGATAAATCTTCCGGTGAATCCTCTGAGCTGAGCATAAAAAGAACACAGGAGGCAGATCTGCGCAGTATTAGAGCACGGCTTTTTAAAAATATTAAAAAGGCATAAAATAATCCTCAGGTATGACAACTTTTTCTGCCAGCACGACCAGGAAAGAATGGTCTAGCTAAAGTTGGGTATTTAAGAAGGTGCTGCAGTGCTGAGTCAAACGACTTTTTCAAGGTAGGCAACGTATATATGTAATCAACAGATTCAGTTGACAGTTACTTGGAAGAGGCTAAACAAGGTTATTTCACTTAAGGTTAGGAAAGACTTAAGATCAAAGGAGCTGAAAACTGGGGAAGAGGATGGGTGAAAGAATATGACTCCTGAAGTTTGTGTTTCCGCAAGTGGTAAACACAACTCCGGGAACAAACCCTAAGGCCGATACTCCCCACAATCTCTTTTCCCCGGTTCTGCATCAACCCAAATAAAAACACAGCTTACTCTGCACAGTCCTTCGGTTACGCAGGAGGCTAGGACTCGCTCCCGGCAAACAAAGCGGATGCGGGCGGCTGAGGACCACACACGTGGGGGCGTTAGCGCGCGCCGCCAATAGCCAGGAGGCCCACGCCCCGTCCTCGGCCGAGGACAGCCGGTGACCGTCACCTTCGGACAGGAGCCTTCGCTGGGCCATCCCGGAGGCTTGCGAGAGCGGCACGGCCCTTCCCAGCGGGCGCGGTGCGCAGGGCCCGCCGCCGCGGGGCACCTGAGGAGCGCCGCGGGGACGAGGACGCGCGGGGACGGGGACGCACGGGGACCAGGAGCTGCGGCTCGGCGCGCGGCCCTCCCGCGGGACCCACCTGGATCTGCAGCGGCACGAGGCGCACCTTGCAGCGCTCGCTCACCGTGAAGCCCTTGGGCAGGTCCACGTACTGGCCCCACTCCTCCGCGAAGAGCTGCACCACGAATTTGCGGTGCATGTCGATCTGGTCGCCGTACAGACTGAGGAACTTCTGGATGAGCAGCTCGTAGCCCGCGCCGTGCGGCACGGCTGAGGGCCGCGCGAAGACCGAGAAGCAGAAGAGCACGGGGACCGTGCCCGACGGCGCCCCCAAGCCACCGCCGCTGGGGAGCGCCGGGACCGCGGGCTCCGCCGCCGCCATGTTCCCCGAGCGTCTGCTCGCTCCGAAACCGCGAGGCGCAGACCCCGCCAGCAGCCGCGGCCCCGCCTCCCCGCGCCGCCTGTCGCCTGCTCTGGAAGGCGAGGG